TGTTACCACAGACATTGTCCAACCCCACCATACTGTGTTCATTTTACTTGTGCAGCTCTTAAAATGGGCCATAAATTGCCTTAAATTTATTTTTTTAAATTCTGCAGATACCCTGTAAATAGTTAAATAAAATTCCTTCCTTCATATTTGTTGATATTTGTTTATTGAAAATATTTTCGATTGACATTTAAACTCCTATCTGATTTTCTATATTTAAAAAAAGGACTTTTTTTATTTGGGCTAGTTAAATTAATTTTAGGGCAACCAAAATCTGAAGAGTACCTGCCCGAAGGGCTACCAGGGATTTAGAAATTTTGCGAGCCCTGATGAAGGAATAACTGAAACCACATGCAACATAATGCTCTTAGATATGTAGTCTAGAGAAATAACCCTGCAAAATATCAACAATAGTTTGACTGCATGACCATTTCTTTTTACATCCAGTCAAGCAGTACTAACCCTAAAGCTACTTTCAAGCATTACATCTGGTCCAAAGCTTTTTTTTTGCCGATTTCAAGGCAATCAGAGGCGTGGAGAACTTGAGGAGTAAGCCAATCAGACAATTGCAAAAATAAACATACTTTAAAAATAATGATTTGTATAGTGCTTCTCACAATACACATTGTTTCAAAGCAGTTTTGCTAAAAATCACGATGTTAATGTGTATAAAATCTCGATATTTTCATGCTTTATACCAGTGGTTCTCAACCCGTGGCCCGCCATGCTGAACACAATTTTAAAAAATTACTTTCAGTTTTACAATTCATTTTAGTTTTTACATTAATTTAAAAATGTACTAAATAAATATAAGCTATAGCCTAATGTTTTTATGTAAAATAATTTTGTTTTTCATATATTATTTTCAGACATGAGCAGTACTCACATAGCCTAATTAACGTTACGCATTTAAAGTAACGACCAGGTGGCCAGCGCCAGAGTGAGCATATGTTTGATCAATTTAGCCTTCTCAAATCATCACGACTTGACTAAAATAAAATCTATAGATATAAAACAGTTCAAGCATATAACAATGTTTAAACGTTAAACCTAGATAAATGCGCTCTATATCCAATAGTTTGCGCAGAGAGTGGAAGCTGAAGCGTGCTTTGCAGGACATAGAGACGCCAGCGCGATCACTTGCATTTTTTTCAGTGGATAGGC